TTCCATTTCCAGGGATATCATTTCTTATGCAGACTTGTTGAAATGTTCTTGGTAGGAGGGGTGGGATCAGGGGGTAAAGGGAGAGAAAAGGGACGGGTGGGGAGCAACTCAGGAATCGGCTGGTAATTACCTCCGAGCATTTGGAGAAGAGGATGTGGTTTCAGTTTACACTGCCTCATTCTTTCTCTCCTCCCTGGCTCCCTTTTGGTCACTCAAACAGTCCATTTGCTTCTTGTCTCCTCACTGCTTCTTTCACGCCATTTGTATGAGGAATGTGGAGACGTGCACAAAAGGAACAAAAACGAAATGAAGTGAAGCAGATTAGAGCAAAGTGAGAGAAAGAGAGAGTGAATGGGTGGGTTTGGAGAGAATGAATGGAACTGATTAAAGAAATCTAATACCTGATATAGAATCAGATGCTATTTCAGCTGTACAAACTTTTGTAACTTTTGTAGAAAAGGGCACATTTTTAGATATCCTTATATCATAAATATTTTAAGTTTATTTTACATTAAGATATTTTATATTTTACTTGATTCATTTATTTTACTTTCTATATTGTTTTACTATATTTTACTATTATAAATATGATTTTACTACATAATTTAAAAAAATATATATCGTTATGTTCTCAACAAATAGTGGTTGGTTTAAATTTATTTGAAACATAAAGTCCCTCAAAACTTCAGAGGAGGTCTAAATGCAAAATCAAAACCAGAGTCTTGTTAGGACACAGACACAGATCAGTCTAGCAGCTCTCAGCAAGAGACCGAAGAGAGCCCAGATTTGAAGCTGTGATATGATTGACTGACAATGGCTGACTCTTGTGGTCTGAATACTAACAAAGCTCAGCATGAGATGTCTTTGTTGGCATGTTTGTATGAGAGAAAGGGAGCTGAATAATATGGGGGTTTCCATGTATTTTACACAATTTCAGTTTTTAAACAAAAGCTCCTTGTTTGACAAAATCTCCAAAACATAATGGAATACTTTCAGATTCAGATGATAGCTAAATGTAACTAAAAGTAATCCCTGGAGGTGATTGATGCTTGATCCACGAACAAGGAGTCTGGAGTAAGTGGACTTGTAAAAATCATGCTGCAAGTTGCTTTGGATAAAAGCGCCTGCTAAATGACAAATAACACATATTAGGATGAAACTAAAGGAATTAGCAATATATGACCCGATCGCTCAAGCCAAATGGTGGGGCAAATAGGGGTCTTTCTGAATCTTTACTGGAAGCACATGGTGCGCGAGAAGCGGCCGCCCAATGAGACGCGCACAGGCGCAAACGCTGCGGATTGGTCGAGAACTCAGCGGCGCACATTCAAAACGCTGCGGATTGGTCGAAAACTCAGCGGCGCACATTCAAAACGCTGCGGATTGGTCGAGAACTCGCTCATTCACAGACTGACCTGAGAGAGAGAGACTGCGGAACGCCGGCGGATGAGAGGAGAAGAGCGGTCCAGAACAACTGTCTGAAAGCAAAGATACGCAGAAACATGGAGGCGAACACGGAGCGAACGTTTGCTGACTTTTCTGGATCCTGGAAAATGAAAAGTTCCGAAAATTTCGAGGAACTTCTAAAAGCCCTCGGTGAGTTTTCAAGATTCGTTGTTATTATAAAAGTTATATCTAAGATAATTAAAACAAAATCTCTAGTTTTTAAATGTGAACTTTGTATTCGTATTAGTTTATGTATTTTTTAATTATAATCAGTTTTTTATATATATATATTTTGTGATGTTTAAAAAATGTAAAGGTAGTGTAACTTTCTTTAGATTGTAAAAAAAAAAAAAAAAAAGTCTAATCAAAAGCCCGAAAAAGGAAGTTAATTAAGTGCATAATTAATTTAATATACATATTTTATTACGCCTTTAAAAATAAGCAACAATGCTATTTTGTTTTAAAATTAGCCATTTTGACATCATCTGACAAGAAAACTATAAACCAAAAGAAACCCTTGCATGAGTGCATGTCAATGTCATTTATTTATTTATAAAAAAGATATTTTGTTCAGGTCAAACTGAGACTCGCTTTGACCATGAGCACAAGCTGCATGAAAAAACTGTTCTGCTTCACTTCCTCATGGGATTGTGATTAGGCGCACACACCCTGATACAGGGCCCCTCGGCCAGCCATTTGGCTCTGTAGACACACCGTCCCTCGACCCCAATTATTCACTCAAGGGGGAGTTCACTTAGACCAAGTACACAGTTGCCCCTAAATGAAATAAAGACGAGAATGAATCCACTGTCTTGACTCAGTATTTAAAAGGTATAGATTTCCTTGGTGTAAACATTAAGACCGTGGTACCTGATTTGATTGCTTAAATATGTGACCGCTATTTAGACAGTAAAACATTCCAGTGCAGATTGGACACACTTGTTAAGGACAGGAAATTGGCCGTAGGAAAAATGGCTTTGATTTCTGATAATGATAAATGGCCTTTTAATTTCTTAACACATTTGTGTGTGTGTGTGTGTGTGTTCTACAGGCGTAAATGTCTTTCTGAGGAAGATTGCAGTTGCAGCAGCTTCCAAACCAGCTGTTGAGATTACACAGCAGGGGGAAAGTCTCTCCATTCAGACCTCCACTAGTGTGCGGACCACTCATGTGTCCTTCACGGTGGGCGAGTCCTTCAACGAGGCTACGGTGGATGGACGCCTTTGCACAGTAATGCCACCCATCCATGCATCTCAGCACATCATATTTTTCTCTCTGTTAACTGCTACACTTTAGCATATTGCATAAGATTTACCATTAGAAAATATCAATGTCTTCAATGTATTATTATTTATATTTTCTAAAACTAAACACCACTATTTGATGGTGAAAGTTCACTTTTATCTATACACACAGACATGATGTATGTTTTCAACAAACGTTGAGACTCTATAAAGACATTTAAAATGAATATCTCTGCTTTTAGCTCTTTTCTAACTGTTTCTAACAATTTCTCGCCAGAGTTTTCCAAAATGGGAGACCGACCGTAAAATCACTTGTGAGCAGACGCTGCAGAAGGGGGAGGGGCCTGAGACATCATGGACACGTGAACTGACCAATGATGGCCAGATGATTCTCGTAAGTGCACCACTTATTTGAAAAATAATGTTCATATTTTTAACTGAATTATGCCACTAGCATATGTGACCCTGGACCACAAAACCAGTCATAAGGGTCAATTTTGCGAAATTTCGATTTATACATCATCTGAAAGCTGAATAAATAATTTGATGTATGGTTTGTTAGGATAGGACAATATTTGATCGGGATACAACTATTTGAAAATCTGAAATCTGAGGGTACAAAAAAATCAAAATATTGAGAAAATCGCCTTTAAATTTGTCCAAATGAAGTTATTAGCCATGCATATTACTAATCAAAAATTAGGTTTTGATATATTTACAGTAGGAAATTTACTAAATATCTTTATGGAACATGATCTTTACTTAATATCCTAATGATTTTTGGCATAAAAGAAAAATCAATAATTTTGACCCATACAATGTATCTTTGGCTATTGCTACAAATATGCCAAGCGACTTAAGACTGGTTTTGTGGTCCAGGGTCACATATAAAATAGAGTACTTCTAGCCTACTCTAATGAGCATCTTAAAAGCTCAACACCTTACAATAATAGATTGTTGTTCATTCCTCACCATATAGTTCACATTATTATAGAAGTCACACTGCTCCCATTTAGGCCACTTAAAGTAAACAGGTGCTCAATGTCTGTGCTTTTTGTTCCTAATAGATATTTTGTAACTTTCATTTAGGTAAGTCAGTGTTGCATGGTTGGAAATTGAAAAGAGCATTCTTTGAATTCAGAGAACAAGATCTGGTCAGATATGTGAATATATAACATCTGTTGTTATGTTTAAGCCCATCTTAAATGGTTTAAGCAGTTAGTTGGTGGTTTCTTAACATCTCTGATGTTTATCTTCCAGACCATGAGAGCCGGAGATGTCGTCTGCAACCGTGTGTATGAACGAGACTGAAGGATCCTAAGATTTCAGTTCATTCTATTCCATTCCATCTCAACCGTGTCCACAGTGTGCTAAAATTCTAGTTTATCATTGAACAAATAGCCTGTTCCTTCCGCTTTTTGTATGTTTGACGTGCAGAGTGGCTAAGTTTGTGTGGCAGAGAAGGAGAGATGTTTGAAGGGTCAGAGATGGTACTTGTATAAGGATTATAGTGAGTTTGCATTGTTCTTTTTGGTGCATTGGCTGAAAAGTGTATTTATTATTGTCGTTTGTGCATTTTATGTTTTATGTTTATGCCACAATGTGGCTTATTAATCAAAAATGTTTTGGCAATAAACCTTTCTACTTATAAACCCCCAAAAAATCTCATGACTAATTCACTGTTATTTTCTTGCCTGGATATAGAAATCTCTTTGACACTAGCCTTGGTTGCACTTTTACACTTATTTTCTGCCTCATTCCTTTTCTTCAAAGTGCTCTTTGTGCCTGTTCTTGCTTTCTGTCTCCTGATCCAACCACTTACAGTTTTGAACAACACTATAAATTTGTATTTCATGAGTGTACATCAATTGTTGAATTATTTCCTGGCAAGGAGTAATGGGGGAATGCGGGAGAGGTACGGAAAGAGTGAGCAAACGTTAGAAAAGAAAAGTCATTTCATATTTTTAAGGTTATATTCCCTCTGCTCTTTCTCCCATCTGTAGCTAATTACTCCATGAGGTCAGAGAGGACAGCTGTCATTTCTCTTTCTTTTTGTCTTTCTGCAGCCAGATTCATGATCCAAACGGTTGCTTCATTCTAAATCTAGGGCAAATGCTTCTGAAAGTTTAATTAAATAATATGTGTGAGTAAATGATGCAAAACGCTGCTAATGAAAAGCAAAATTAAGTTAAAACTCTTTCTTCTACCCTCCGTATCTTTCTTTTTTACTATGTAGCAGCGTTCAGAGACTGCTGTGTTTTTCAGTCTGCTGCCGATGATGAATTTTCCAGGCAACAGAGCTCACAGTGGACTTATTCAAGTTTGCACATAATTCCAGTCTCCTGTGTTGCGTATGTGTGTTCTACAATTCTCAACGGTCCTGTAAAGAGTTTTAAGCTTACATAACCCATGATGTCTTAAAAGTGTATGTGTGCTGCAATGTACAGAGGTTGCCATTAAGTTCACACATTTTCTGGAAGAGGTTGAAAAAAATCCATGTTCCTAATGTTTAACATCAGAGGCAGTGACTGTATTGTTGTGGTGCTTGCTGAAGCAAGAATCACTGCAAGAATCATTGCAACCACCCACAACAACCACTCAGAGCACTCTAAAAACCACCAGGCAATGCCTTAGCAACCACCAAGAACACCCTAACAACCACCTAGCAGCCACCCAGAACTCTGTAACAACCTAGCATAGGGTTAGCAACAACCAAGAAAACCCCAGCAAACACCTAGCAATGACCTGGCAACTATTTGCACACACACAGCAGCAAGTAGTGAACACACACCCAGAGCAGTGGGCAACCATTTTTTGCTGTGGCAACTGGGGGTTCGGTGCCTTGCTCAGTTGTGGGTACTGAGGGTGGAACAGAGCACTGTTCATTCACTCCGCCCACCTACAATTCCAGTTGGTACAGAGACTCGCACCCACAACCTTTGGGTTACAAGTCCAACTCTCTTACCATTAGGCCACGACTTCCCCTAAACCACCCAGTCTTGCCATTGCTATTGTCATAACAACTAACTTGCAATGCCCTAGCAACAATCCATAACCCCCAAAAACCATCTAAAAATGCCCAGGCACCCCTTCAGAATCTTCATAATGAATCCTCCAGTAAACTCCTAGCAATGCATAGAAACCACCCAGAACACCATAACAACCACTTTGCAATGCCCTAGTAACCATCTATAAATCACCTAACATACACCTTTCAATACACTGGCACCTATCTATAACCCCCAACAACCATCTACAATTCTAAGAGCAACTACTGAGAACCCCCTTGCAATCACTCATCACCCTAATAATGATCTATAACAGGGGTGGACGAACGTCGGTCCTGGAGAGCCGCAGCCCTGCAGAGTTTTGCTTCAACCCTAATCAAACACACCTGAACAAGCTAATCAATGTCTGAACAGTTACTAGGAAGCTACAGGCAGGTGAGTTTTAATTAGGGTTGGAGCTGAACTCTGCAAGGCTGCAGCGCTCCAGGACCGGAGTTCGCCACCCTTGATCTATAACAATGCCCCAGCAACCACCCAGAAGACCCTAGATGCGTTCCATTCAACCGTAAGTGGACTGCGAAGTGGATTTCACATGTTATTCCGCCATCTTAAAGGGTTAGTTCACCCCAAAAATGAAAATTCTGTTATTAATTACTCACCCTCATGTCATTCCAAACCTGTAAGACCTTCAATCATCTTTGGAATGCAAAGTAAGCTATTTTTGATCAAATCTAAGAGTTTTCTGACCCTGCATAGACAGCAAAGCAACTGACACATTCAAGGCCCAGAAGGGTAGTAAGCACATTGTTAAAATAGTCTGTGTGACAGTGGTTCAACCGTAATGTTATGAAATTACGAGAATACTATTTGTGCGAAAAAGAAAACAAAAATAACGACTTTATTCAATGATTTCTCCTCTCCTGGGAGAGTCCTCCGTCATTATAAAGAGTACCACGACGCATGCACTGCGCCTTGTTTACAAGCAGAGGAATGCTCATGCATGCATGGTGTAATCTCGTAGCTTCATAAAATAATGGTTGAACCACAGATGTCACATGGACTATTTTAATGATGTCCTTACTATGTTTCTGGGCCTTAAACGTGTCAGTTGCTTTGCTGTCTATGGAGGGTCAGAAAGCTCTCGGATTTCATCAAAAATATCTTAATTTGTGTTCCGAAGATGAACGAAGGTTTTACAAGTTTTGAATGACATGAGAGTGAGTAATTAATCCCAGAATTTTCATTTTTGGTTGAACTAACCCTTTAAGTGAGATTCCAATCTGAAGGGAACGAACCTGTTCAGTTCGAAGGGTACTGCGGTATAGGGAATAAGAGATACATCGCTTCACAGGAAGCGGACAGGGAAAATCACCCAACTGTTATTGGCTCTGTAATGAGGGGTTATTATTAAATGTTGTTATTATTATACAAACTAGAGTATTTATGAATGGTAATGACGATGAATGTTAAATTTTCATAATGTATTGTATGAACAGGTGAAACTAAGTAAAACCGTCGAGAAACAACTGAGGCTCTGTCATTTTTTATTTTACTTTGTTTACCTCAGGTGACTTAACTATGAGGCTGCGTGTGGGAAAGAAAGCACTCGAGATGACCACTACAATCTGTTAACCGTCTAACATGCATTTTGACTATATTTATTAGATACATAATTGTTTATGTATTTTATATGTATTTAAATTATAAAGTAAAATAAATTACAATATTTATTTTTGTTATATCATCATCTGCGTGACCCCATCATAACCTTTCTTTGAAAACATTCCAGGGCTTTCCAAATGAGTAATTATTGTCAGCTAAGTCCACTTCAATGGATATCCCGTGCTTAGGGATGTCAATTGGAATGCTCCTTCTAACAATTATCTAGCAATGGCCTAGTAACCACCCAAAGCATCCTAACAACCACTTAGCCTAGACCTTGAAACAGAACATCCTAGCAATTCCTAGAAACCACCTAGCAATTCCCTAGCGACCCTTCAGAAAACCCATATCAATCCCCTTAGCAACCACACAGAAATCCACTGTAACCGCCTTGCAATGTCCTAGCAACCATCCAGAATAACAACCAGCTTGCAATCTCATTTAAAAAACCTAACAACCACCTTGCAAATGGCATAGTGAGCATCTATAACCCTATATCAGCGACCTCGCAACCACCTAGAACCATCTAACAATCATCTAGCTTAGGCCTAGCAACAACCCAGAAAGTCCTAAAAGCCCCTCAGAAACCCAATAACAATTTTCTTACTTTCCATGCAGAAATCCCAGTAACCACCTAGCAATGCCCTAATAGCAACCACCCAGAACACCCTCACAACCACCTAACAACACCTTAGCAACCACCCTCAGCACCTTTCACTGTGGCGGAAAGTTGTTGCTAACGTTTTTTTCAGAAAATGCACATTTGCACAGAATTTATTCTATTTGTTCCATCTGTCTGTCTGGGCTTCTTGACTCACTTTTCAATTCCAAAATGCTTTGAGACACGGTTTCACATCTGCTGCGATGCCTGGTGTGTTTACTGCACACCTCGTTAACAAGATTAATATTACAAGCACTCTAGAACAAGGTCATCAAGTCTTCCCCATCTATTTAACTCTGGCCTTGTGCGGTTTAAGCCTATTGTGGTGGTATGCACTAAATGAGACCCAGATCCTGGTTTCTCCTCTTCTTTAATTGAGACCATACTGCTGAGAAACAGGGGCAAAACCCACAAGCCCACACGGTCTACTGAAGCTCCCTCCATCCCTGCTGGTTGCCTTGGCAACTCACCAGTGTAGGCTTCATGTCAGCTCATTCCACAGGCGGTGATGTCATGCCATGCATGGCTTGATTGGCTGAGGAATGTTGCGGTTTCCAAGGAAAGCAAAAGGAAGCACGGACACACCCACTTAGAGACGAGAAAAAGAGGATTTAAAGGAAAGATGGTTTAGGGAATTAAGAGTGACAAATCTTTGTCACTTCAGCATAACCTTCCTCTGAACTCACAGATAAAGAACATATTGTTTCTCTATGAATGATTCATTTAAGGTCCCATTCCTGTTTACCATCGCTCTGTCATGCTCACTGATTAATGTTTTGCATTTGAACTTCACTGGAAGCTTGCCCACCAAGATCAGAGCATACAAATAATGCGATCCAGGAGCCACGCTGATTCAAAGTCAATTGGTGGAGTGTCTAGTTTCTTGGTTTCCATTCAATATGTGTGAATTTCATCCACATCTGGTCAAGACTGAAGTCAAAGTGCCGAATGAATTGCTTGTGGAACACTTTGTATCCTAACAGCAGCTGCAGAAATGATCAGAGAAAGCAACTTGAACACCTGCAGTCAGTGAGGTCAAACTTTTTAAGTGACATAAAGTGAATTTGTAAATCAAAGTAAATGAGTTTTATGAAAGAGCACGAAGAAGGGTGATTGTGTGTGCGTTGGTTGGTGGCGTAGTGGTATATTTGTGTGTTGTGAGATATCATATGACTGACTTTCTGCCCTCCTGTCGCCCATGTGAACTCACGTGACTAGCCTTCAGCCATCTTCCCCGTGTGACAACTTGCCCCGGTGGCCCTACCTATATTTTACAGAGGGAAATTACGCATGATAATAACAGCATGTTACAGCATGATGGATGTACAGACAGATAGATTTTAGAAATGATAGGCCATGCTGTTGTTGATGTATTTAACTCTGGCCTTGTGCGGTTTAAGCCTATTGTGGTGGTATGCACTAAATGAGACCCAGATCCTGGTTTCTCCTCTTCTTTAATTGAGACCATACTGCTGAGAAACAGGGGCAAAACCCACAAGCCCACACGGTCTACTGAAGCTCCCTCCATCCCTGCTGGTTGCCTTGGCAACTCACCAGTGTAGGCTTCATGTCAGCTCATTCCACAGGCGGTGATGTCATGCCATGCATGGCTTGATTGGCTGAGGAATGTTGCGGTTTCCAAGGAAAGCAAAAGGAAGCACGGACACACCCACTTAGAGACGAGAAAAAGAGGATTTAAAGGAAAGATGGTTTAGGGAATTAAGAGTGACAAATCTTTGTCACTTCAGCATAACCTTCCTCTGAACTCACAGATAAAGAACATATTGTTTCTCTATGAATGATTCATTTAAGGTCCCATTCCTGTTTACCATCGCTCTGTCATGCTCACTGATTAATGTTTTGCATTTGAACTTCACTGGAAGCTTGCCCACCAAGATCAGAGCATACAAATAATGCGATCCAGGAGCCACGCTGATTCAAAGTCAATTGGTGGAGTGTCTAGTTTCTTGGTTTCCATTCAATATGTGTGAATTTCATCCACATCTGGTCAAGACTGAAGTCAAAGTGCCGAATGAATTGCTTGTGGAACACTTTGTATCCTAACAGCAGCTGCAGAAATGATCAGAGAAAGCAACTTGAACACCTGCAGTCAGTGAGGTCAAACTTTTTAAGTGACATAAAGTGAATTTGTAAATCAAAGTAAATGAGTTTTATGAAAGAGCACGAAGAAGGGTGATTGTGTGTGCGTTGGTTGGTGGCGTAGTGGTATATTTGTGTGTTGTGAGGTATCATATGACTGACTTTCTGCCCTCCTGTCGCCCATGTGAACTCACGTGACTAGCCTTCAGCCATCTTCCCCGTGTGACAACTTGCCCCGGTGGCCCTACCTATATTTTACAGAGGGAAATTACGCATGATAATAACAGCATGAAATTTTAAATTACATTTTAAATCGTACCGCTTAACCGAGATGGATGGATGGATGTACAGACAGATAGATTTTAGAAATGATAGGCCATGCTGTTGTTGAAATAATATAATACACTGAAATACAACTATTTTAGTTTTTTAGGAGAAACACGCCCCCTTGCTGTTCTCCTCAGATATGCGCTTTTTCACAAGAATTCTCCCTCATCATGTGATAAAATAGCGCTTTCTCATTGGCTCTTCCTCGTCAGGTGGCGCAACTTTGTCCTCAAAGCTTCAGTTGTGCTGTGTTGCCATGTCCACTAAATGTAAGTAATTACAGGTCTCTGTTATTCGCTTACAAGTTAACGACTAGTTTATTTCTAGTTGTAATGTGAACCATTTTAATTATATTTTTGTAAACGGGATTGATTTTCAAAAAGGCGTTATTTTGCCGTTTACGCATGCGGAAAGAAAAACAGAATGGCCTGTTCGAATTTGTTTTTAAATGAAAGTACTTGTTTTTATTGCGCAACCTGGCAACACCCTTGTCATGTGATATGAACACATTTCCTGTACACTAGCACTACACAACAGCGCTGTCAACTGAAACAAAGTCGTGTCGCTCGTCGGTCTAACAAAGGAAAATAAATAAATAATTTTAAAAAACAAAGAAGACGACCCCAAACCACTGTAATATAAGGACAGCACTTGCTATTGACTTGACACGGATACCTGACATGTCGTTGTAATGTTGGTTGGTTAGCTAGTTAGTGTTAACCGGTCGCGGTGTGATTTGTTTGGTCTAAATGGACTTCCTACAATCCGGTATTTACTAAACTGGATTGACTTCTGCCTGTAACTGCCCGCTACACTACACTGTTCTGGTTTTTTACATCTTGGCGAGATCTAATCTGCCAACCCAGTACCAAAATGTCAAAATACACCACTTTTGCTGATGCAGCTGATGACCATAATCCATTTCAGGTAATATACTGTTCTAGTTTTTGTAATTGTACATCACATATCTGTTTGAGCTGTTTTTATTTGTGGCCTTATGTGTGTAGTGCTGTAGCTCATGTGATGCTGTCACAGGACTTGACAAGTCCTCAAAGGCCAGGCCAATCATGTTAAGTTACATGACTGTGGTTTTGTCTGAATGATCACTCCAGTCTGTGTCCTTCACATTCTGCTTTGTATTTGAACTGCTAGTTGTTGATCACTTGTTGCTTTAAGTATGGCTAAATGAAAGGAATCAGCTAATGAAATGAGAAAAATGATTATATGAAACGGCGTGTATAAATAGACTGTCAGTTTGGTTATTGTTATTATTTTCCACATTTTAAAATATTAATTAGGTCATAAAAAAGGCATTCATATTTTGTAGTAAGGCTAAGAATATTGTTATAATTCTATTACATTTCCATTTCTATTTTGAAGTTTGTACAAAAAAGTAAAAAAACAAAAACAAGTCACAAACATGTAGGAATTATATAATGGCCAAATATTGCTCTTAGTTTTTTTTTCTATAGCATATTTATATTGAAGTCTGTACATAGGTGCAGTTTCTATTTTTTTTTTTAAATCTAAATTGAAGCATTTAGGTCAGAAGGTTTTTAAGATCATGAGAAACACAAATTCACTCGTGTGTCGTAACGTTTGAGTGGTACTCTATGATTTGATGTTATTTTTGGTTAGTTACTTGCAGTTTATCAGAGGAATGATCTTATTGTGTTGTGAAGGTTAGTCCCTCTGTAGCAGATATATTTTCTGCCTCAGAAACAATGATATTAGTGTAAGATTGTAAGTTTAAAGTGCCAGTTCTTAGGCGACCTGGAGCTTGGTTTAAAAAGGTTAAGTTTTATGTGGCATCAGCCCAGATATTTAATTATTATTACATTTACATTTAGTCATTTAGCAGACACTTTTATCCAAAGCGACTTACAATTGGGGGATACATAAAGCGATTCTTCTTGAAGAGGCAAACAGACACAAGAAGTGGTTGTAATACCAAGTTCTTAGACATTGTTCAAATAAGTACAAGCTAGAAAGAGAAGGAATAAATAAAGAGAGATACATTTTTATTTTATTTTATTATTATAATTTTTTTTTTTATGATGAAGTCAAGTAGCTTCGAAAGAGATGAGTTTTCAGCTGTCGCTTGAAAATTGTCAGGGATTCAGCATTCCGGATAGGGGTGGGAAGATCGTTCCACCAGCCAGGAACGGTGAACGAGAATGTTCTGGAAAGTGATTTTGAGCCTCTCTGTGATGGTACCACGAGGCGTCGCTCACTAGCGGATCTCAGACTTCTGAAGGGGATGTAAATTCGTAGTAGTGAGTGGAAGTAGGCGGGTGCTGAGCCTGTGGCTGTTCTATATGCAAGCATCAATGTCTTGAACTTGATTCGAGCCGCAACCGGTAGCCAGTGCAAGGAGATAAAGAGAGGTGTAACATGGGCTCTTTTGGGCTCGTTGAAGACCAGTCGTGCCGCTGCATTCTGAATCATTTGTAGAGGTTTGATTGTGCTTGATGGGAGTCCAGCCAGAAGAGCCTCATCATGTGATAAAATAGCTAAAATAAATGTTATCTATCACCAGCTATAAATGAACTGAAAGGTTTGTTTTTTCTGTGTTTGCAGGATGCATCAGTGACTCAGCACAGCAGCAACACTGGCTACGCCACGCTGGACCTCTACAACCCATTTGACAACAACACAACAGCGGTAAATATGTCCTTCCTGACTTGAGCAGGCTGTTTACATAGCTTTTAATTATTAATTCATGATGGGAGTACAATGAAGTATAAACTCTATTTCATGTCTACTTCAGTTGCCTCTGCGCCGCAAGAACACAAACACAATTATTGTGTTTTGTAATATTATGTTATGTTTTTAAAGATGTCAGTTAATTTGTTGCGTCATACCAGTCCTGCATCATTATGATGGCTTATTTTAACTGATTTATTTGTTTTGGGTAATGAAGCCTCCACCTCCCTATGAAGCCACATCTCCTGCTGCACCTCCTGCCCAGACGCCTCCCAGCAGGACCACACCAACCGAGCCCAGGAATTATGGATCCTATGGAACACAGGTGCTGTTTAGAGTAACTAAATGAGACATATTTGTTCACACAGGGCCATGGCACTGGATTGTTACATCTGGTAGTTTATAAAAATTTTTACTGCAACAGTTGCAGCACACAGTTGCCCCCTCATCAAGCCAGTGTGTGCAATAGGATTTCAATTATAAAGCAGTATTTTAATACCATTCTGTTAAGATCTAGATCTGTCACCACCAATTCTATTGGGCTGTTTTAACAGTTAAATATTGCATGATGGACGGTTATATAATTTGATCTGATAATTATTTAGTTTTATATTTGGACAGCTTTCAGATTTTTTCACCAAATGGATAGTATGATTAAACTGATTTGTATGAATAATCAGGATGCATCAATGATGTAGGATGCATCAAGTTGATCATTTATAATGTCACAAAAGATTTCTATTTCAAAAACATGTTTAAAAATAATAATGTATTCATCAAAGAATCCTGGAAAAAGAAATCACAGTTTCAACCAAAAATATTCAGTAGTAACAACAGTTGCAACAACATTGATAATAATAATAAATGTTTCTTAAGCAGCAAGTCAGCATTTTACAATTTCTTAAGAGTCATGTGACACTGAAGACTGGAGTGATGATGCTGAAATTTCAGCTTTGCATTACAGGAATAAATTGCATTTTATATATATATATATATATATATTTATATATAAAAATAGAAAACACCTTATCTTTAATTGCAATAATGTTTGAGAATAGAACTGTTTTTACTGTATTTTTTATCAAATCAGTGCAGACTGGGTGACCCCACACTTTTTGAACGATGGCATATTTTCTACTAATTAATAAACTAAATGTTCATACTGCTATGGAAGAGTAAACACAGCTGAATTTCTGCTATAGTTTTGCTCCCTGTTGAGTTGCAAACATTTGACCATAAATATATCTCATCAATTTAATACTGTGCTGGGATGCTTATTAATGTGGTAGTAATAGAAAATAGTTATGCATTTCATAATTGTTAGCTGCCTCTCCCTCTATGTCTGTTGCAGTCTGCAGTGAATGCCACCACAGCAGATCTTTTGAGGAAGCAGGAGGAACTAGAAAGAAAAGCAAAAGAGCTGGAGAGAAGAGAGAGAGAGCTGAATGCACATGCGCTTGGGTCTGGAGCCAGTGAGTGTAGCAATATCTTGATTTCTTGAGAGAAAAATATCTTGATTTCTGTGTTTGCCAGGGGAATTAAATGTAAATGAAACTTCTTGAACCCACAGTGATCTTCAGTTTTACTGCTGGCATTACATGCTGTAAAAGTTTCGGTGGCAGTTTGCAATTAGTATTGCCATTCGCAAGCTGTTTAATACTGCTGTTTGAATGCTAAAGCAACTCATAACGCCTTAGAAACCACATAGGAATGACCTGGCACCCATTCATAACATTGTCTTGCCGGGTGTTACATGTGCAACCACCACTCACATTTTTTGATAATGTACTTATCTAGATGCAAGCAAGAGTTTTGATAAAGTATTTCAGCAATCAAAACGAGTGAAGTACTCTTAGTTCCATTTACACATTTTATCATATTCAAATCCACTTTTGGATAAACAATTTTACACAATTCTGCAGATTTTCAATGCAGAAAGTGTGACAAGCAATCAGTGTGTTTTTTAAGAATGAGAGGCTTAATTTCAGTCAAGATTAGCAGAACATACAAAGCATAACACATTTAAATAACACATTACTTCTTTTTCCACTACAGGTTTTTTTTCACTCCTTTTACACTTTTTTTTTTAATCCTGATAAAGAATCTTTCTTTCACGAAAGAAAGCGAAGTGCTGCAGCAATAGATATGTAAAAGATGATGAGACAAACAAGTGTATTTTAAGAACTGATGTGATTATTTAGATGGACTAATTGTTGGTCAGGGTTACAATGAAAGTGCAGAGATGGATGAGACCTGAATGAGAGAGGAGGGGACAAAGAAATGGAACGGTTAAAAAGATGACAGTGATGGATGGACGGTATTTTCAAAGGAGTAGGATTTAGACCTCGGTGGTAATGAACAAGACATTAATGGAGTGATGCTAGCAGATGAGATTGATGAATGGGGAAATGAATCTCTTTCTGTGTCCTTCTCCCTCAGCTCGTCTGAATAATTGGCCCCCATTACCCTCCTTCTGCCCGGTGGGACCGTGCTTCTATCAGGACATTAATGTGGAGATTGGCCAAAGCTTCCAGCGCACTGTCACCACCATATACTACTACTGGATGTGTAAGTTTGCTCAGTTTAGTATGTCTTTTGCAGTGTGTGGAAGATTCTGCTTTGTATCTGTCCTCCATCATTTTTAGTAAATACTTCAATTATGAATTTATCATGCGTGCTTTCGTCTGTTATACTGAAATAGTTAGTCTCCTCTGTAGTGATTAATCACCAGTATTTGGTCATTTTGAGATGTGAATCTTCCAAAAAGCCTTTACAATGGACAAAAAAAGAAAAGAAAAGCAAAATAAAAAGCGGTAGTTCACCCAAAAGTAGTTATATTAACTCATTAACTCACTCATAACATGTGATTTTGTAAAAAAACTTCATGACTAAAAATTACACATACATATGTACATACATACATATATATATATATATATAGTACTTATCATAATGCTGATATTGTACTTTAATTTTATTAATTAATTATTTAATTTATGTATTTAGCAGACGCTTTTATCCAAAGTGACATACAGTGCATTCAAGCTATACATCTTTTACCAGTATGTGTGTTCCCTGGGAATCGAACCCACGACCTTTTGCGCATTATTTCATAATGGTGAATAAATTATGACAGAATTGTATTTTTGGTTGATTTTTTGCTTTAGTTTGAGCAATTTTGTGTATAGTTCAATTGTGTTATGTGTCACATATCAGCAGTTGCTCCCTAGTATAGGCATATTGATCAGTCACTACTTCAGTAGGTTACTTGGCTTGCAATTGCAAGTGGCCTGTAGTTTTCCTTTGTACTTCTCTTTTTCTCTCTTTTTACCCATTACTCTCATCTTTTTTTCTTAGTTACAGCATGCACTTTGCTCTTTAATCTCATCTCCTGTTTGGCTATGTTCTGTGCGGATCCCAATAATGGAGTTGGTTTCGGCCTTGCCATACTCTGGTTTCTCCTCTTCACCCCCTGCTCCTTTGTTTGTTGGTACAGGCCTGTGTACAAAGCCTTCAGGTACGTACCACCATGGTCTGTCGTGAGGGTGGGACACCTAACTTGTGTACATTTTTTTTTCAGCTGTAGCAAACCCATTTCAGCAATACTTGGATATTAAGTGCATTTAAAGGAATAGTCACCCAAAATTTTACATTTTCTAAAAGTTTACTCCCCCTCAGGCCATCCAAGATGTAGATGAGTTTGTTTCTTCATCGGAACAGATTTGGGGAAATTTAGCAGTACATCGCTTGCTCATCAATTGCTCCTCTGCAGTGAATGGGTGCCGTCAGAATGAGAGTCCAAACAGCTGATGAAAACATCACAATAATCCACATGACTCCAGTCCATCAATTAACATCTTGTGAAGCAAAAAGCTGCATGTTGTAATAAACAAATCCATCATAAAGATGTCTTTAACTGCTTAACCATTGCTTCCAGCTAAAATACTGGAAAGTCGTCTTTGCATATTATTGCTTTCTTCAGTAAAAAGTCATCTAGTCTGAATCAGGAGAGAAACAAATCAAGCATCAAAATGAACATTTATGAAAATGTTGATAGATTTTGATGTGAGAGGACAACAGGGAATTTAAGATTTAAAGCTTTAAACTTTGAAGTTTAAGGTTACAAGTCTTAATGATGGATTTGTATCTTAGTAACACAGCTTTTCACTTCACAAGACATTAATCGATGGACTGGAGTCGTGTGAATTACTTGTGGATTATAGTGATGTTTTTATCAACTGTTTGGACTCTCATTCTGACGGCACACATTCACTGCAGAGGATCCACTGGTGAGCAAGCGATTTAATGCTGAATTTCTCCAAATCTGTTCCCATAAAGAAACAAACTCATCTGCACCTTAGATCGCCTGAGGGTGAGTGCATTGATTGAACTATTCCTTTAAGGGCATTAAGTGTCATTATTTCTGCTTATTACTGAATAAACTCATATCATAGTATTAAACTTCGGCATAAAACCTGTTCTGCAGATACAAGTGATATCTCAAATTATTTCCTACTGTAAATATATCAAAACTTAATTTTTGATTAGTAATGTGCATTGCTAAGAACTTCACTTGGACAACTTTAAAGTCGGCATGAAACAGAAGTTGTGGTCCTCTTTTCTTCTCTACTGTGACGTATACCTGAGTGAAACGGCATCTGAAATGAGAGGGCGGGACTTGATTTCGTCCTTCGGGAATTGATTGGATCGTTGGAAGTTGGAGTGTTGCTAACAAAATGGAGGCAGATCTGAATGCCAGTTTGCAGTTATGCTGAGTTCAAGTCCTCCGTTCGTACTTGCGAGTTGACAAGTCGTAATTTCGACGTCTTGGTCGTTCAAGTCAGTCAAACCTTACACAAGATGGCGGTGTACCTTCTTTTAATAAATTACAAGAAAATACAACAGGGTCTGCATTTTTTTACTTGGATTTCATTAACTAGCTGCGTAACAAGAACATGACCAATTTAAGTTTATAGGACAACTAAACTATCAATTTAAACAAAAATTGACTGTCAACTACAGAGGTTGCATCCATGGATTCCGCCATGTTTCTCATTGACACGCCCCCAACTCGGAAACTCTGGGCTTAAAGAAAATTTCGAGTTTCCCACTGGTAATAACGACTTTGTGGTGGCGTTCATGTGCGTTCAACTCGTAAATACTATCCGACATGACTTGAACTAGTGAACGAATTAGTAGTGGGGGATTTCTCTCCACTGTATTCACCGCCGACACCCTAGCATGAAGAAGTGTTTTATTTATTAAGGATGACGATGACGTTCAACGGCACAAAACATGCCTAAACAGCACGCGCGCACGAGAGAGAGAGAGAGAGAGAGAGAGAGAGAGAGAGAGAGAGAGAGAGAGAGAGAGAGAGAGACAGAGAGACACTGCCTGAATGACTGAGCGCGTCCTCCATCAGGTCATATGAAAAAAAAGTAGTTTTGCAATGTCCTAAGATAATGTTGTGGTAATATCCTAATATCTTTTCAGTGTTTAGGGGTAACATACTCCCTCATGACTGGTGTGGGTGCTATAAAGTGAAGCATCAGCTTCAGCTATTCCCCCTGTCTTTTATCCCAGTGTTTACCCCTCACGTCACTAGCTCCGCCCTTGCGCCATACCTCGTGACCGGAAGAGAAGATGAGTCGTTTTGAGGGGGAGGGGAGGTTAACGTTTTTGATTAACGATTACTGAGGGCATATGAATTTAAAAAAAATAATGAAGTGCACGGATAAATTATTTATAATAAACACTACAGTATTCCATAAAAAAATAAGAATTTTTAATTTTGATTTCATGGTGACTTTAAAGGCGATTTTCTCAATATTTGAATTTTTTTGCACCCTCAGATTCCAGATTTTAATATAGTTGTATCTCAGCCAAATATTGTCCTATCATAAAAAACCATACATCAATGAATAGCTCATTTATTCAGCTTTCATATTCTTTTTTTTTTTTTACCCTTATGTCTGGTTTTGTAGTCCAGGGTCACATATTAAACTACGAAATGAGAGTCCTTATGCTGCTGCACTAACTCTGCAGCAGCTCTTCTTCTTGGTTTTCTCTGATGCACTAACTCTGCAGCAGCTCTTCTTCTTGGTTTTCTTTGATGCACTAACTTTGCAGCAGCTCTTCTTCTTGGTTTTCTCTGATGCACTAACTCTGCAGCAGCTCTTCTTCTTGGTTTTCTCTGATGCACTAACTCTGCAGCAGCTCTTCTTCTTGGTTTTCTCTGATGCACTAACTCTGCAGCAGCTCTTCTTCTTGGTTTTCTCTGATGCACTAACTCTGCAGCAGCTCTTCTTCTTGGTTTTCTCTGATGCACTAACTCTGCAGCAGCTCTTCTTCTTGGTTTTCTCTGATGCACTAACTCTGCAGCAGCTCTTCTTCTTGGTTTTCTCTGATGCACTAACTCTGCAGCAGCTCTTCTTCTTGGTTTTCTCTGATGCACTAACTCTGCAGCAGCTCTTCTTCTTGGTTTTCTCTGATGCACTAACTCTGCAGCAGC